ATAATAATAATAATAATAATAATAATAATAATAATAATAATAATAATTGGTGTGAGGTTTGCTAGATTCCTGACAGGTTATGAAATCTTATTTCCATGGATTCCTCCAAATTTTGCAAGGGGGGAAAATTGGATTTTGAGCATTGCAGATTTCCTGAATTAATTCTGGCTAGTCAAATGAAGTGACAGAAATAAATTTCTCCGGTAATGGTTGGTTAACAGCTCTCTCGGCCCGGCTGGATTCTCGACCCGAAAATCACTGAGGAGGGAAAACCTCGATCCTTTTGTCTTCGATCAGCCGTGCCTTTGCTTGGGCACGTTGTTGTTGTCCTAGCAGGCGGTAAAAGGTGTCTCAATCCTTCTCCCCCCCACCCCCTGATTCGTTAAAAAAAAAAAAAAAAGCCTGTTGAAAACTGTCTTTAAAAAAAAACTGCTTTATTTTTGACCGGGCTGTAGAACGAAAAGGTGGGCTGAGGTCAGGGGGTACCACATGCCATTATAGCCGCCATACAAAGCGATATGGAGACAATGCATCCTTTGCACAAAGCGGGTGAGCCGTGTCACAATTACGGGGAAATAATCCCAATTTCCTTTGAAGGCTGGAAGAGGGAGAAATCCAGGCGGTGTCCGAATTGAGGCCCTTCTCCCTTTTAAGACGCGGTTGTGAGGTGTCTGCTTTCTCGTCCAATTTGTGGTTTCTGTCCTTTTTTTGGGGAGGGGACGGTCTTGGCGTTTCGTGGCTCCCACCTTCTGGGCCTAATAATGCCTGTGGTTTGCTGGAGGGAATGGCTCGATTTATATTTCAATTTTTCTCACCCACCAGCCCGTTCGCCAAAAATCAGCCTGCGATCTGAAACTTCCCCTTCCTCCCCGTTTTTCTCCCCTGTCCCATGACAGATTCACACCTACGACTGAAATACGCTATCCAACCGGATTCTTCAACCATCCTGAGCTGTGTCACAGCCTCTACGAAGGCCAATGTTTAATGTCGTGGGTGAGAGGTGAGAATGTGGGTAGCTCAGGGTTGAACTGCGGGGTGCTTGGTACTCTCTGAGCTTGGTGGTTGTAGGACCCAGCTAGGTAACATCATCAGTGCTAGAAGGGAGTGTGGATAATGGAGAAGAGGAGGGGGGAAGGGGGAGGAGAAGAACGACTGTGGCGTCCTTGGGGCCTGCTGGTTTCCTCGCAGACGTTTCATGACCAAGCTAGGTAACCTTATCAGTGCTAGAAGGGAGTGGGGTTTGCCGAATGGAGGAGAAGGGGGAGGAAGAGAAGGCGGAGAGGAGGATGAGGGTTGTGGGGCCCTTGGTACTCTCTGAGCTGGGTGGTTTTTTTCACAGATGTTTCATGACCAAACTAGGTAACATCATCACTGCACCGTGTAATGCAAGGAACGGAATGATGTTGCGTAGTATGGTTGTAAAACGCCTGCGAGAAAAGCAGCAAGCTCACAGAGTAGCACGGAGCTTCCTTAACACATGACACCTGCTGGCTCGTCGCGATCCCCAAGGGATACTTTCAGGGGAGGTGATAAAGTGAACCTCCACCTGCCGAGGCAGTCTACCTCCAAACACCAGATTGCAGGGCTAAGAATAACCAGAAAGCTGTCACTGCTTCACTACAATAATTTAGAAGACCCTCAAATTATTTTGCTTCCCACTGGGTTAAGAGCGAGGGATCTGTAACCTTCCAGATGTTGACGGAAGGCGATCTATAGCTTTCCGGATGTTGA